GGAAAGAGAAACCACCCTGAGCCTGCTTTGGCAGGGAGGGTGGGGCATAAATTTGATAAATAAATAAAGGGAGATGGTGGTCATGGGAGACTTCAACTACCTGGATATCCATTGGAAGTCCAACTCTGCTAAAAATTAAAGGTGAAAAAAAATCCTGATTGTCCTCCTGACAACTTCATTTTCCAGAAAGTGGAGAGGGAAACAAGGGGATCTGCTATTTTGGACCTGATTCTCACCAATAGGGAAGAACTGGTTGATGAGGGGAAAGCAGTGCGCACTCGTGTAGTAGTGACCATTTTGGAATTTAGGGAAGGGAAAAGCTGTACATAGTCAGACATATAGGCTGGACTTCAGGAAAGCAAATTTTAACAAACTTAAAATTATGCTGGGTAGAATCCCATGGTCAGAAATGCTCAAGGAAAAGTGAGTTCAAGGCACAATAACAAATGATTCCTTTGAGAAGGAAAAATGGGAGGAGCCTAAAGAAGCCAAGGTGGCTCCATAAACAGCTTTCTAAAGATGTGAGAAATAAAAAAGACTAATTTAGAAAATGGAAGGAGGGTCTTATAATCAAGGATGAATATAAACAAATAACTAGTGTTTGTAGGGAGAGGGTTAGAAAAGCTAAAGCTCAGTATAAGCTTAGGCTAGCAAGAGATGCTAAAAACAACAAAAAAGGGTTGTTTTGTTATGATCAAAGTAAGAAAAAGTGCAAGGACATGGTAGGCCCATTGTGGGACAGGAAAGTGAAATTATAACAGGTGATGAAGAGAGGAGTCCTACTTTACCTCAAGTCTTCTCTTGCGAGGGAAACAGTGCTCAACATGGCAAAAACAGAACACATGATGAGGGAAGGAAATTGCAGACTGGGATCGGCATAGGGTTAGTACATAAATACCTAGTTTCTTTAAATGAAACTAAGTCCTCGGAGCCAGATGAATTGCATCCAAGATTACTAAAAGTACTCAGAGATGTAATTTCTGAGCCTCTGTCTATAGTTTTTGAGAATTCTTGGTGAACAGGTGAGGTGCCAGAAGACTGGAGGCGAGCAAATGTCCCCATCTTAAAGAAGGGGAAAAAGGAGGATCCAGGTAACTACCGACCCGTCAGCTTGACGTCTATACCTGGGACAGTTTTAGAACAACTCATTCAGTCTTTGAGCATTTAGAAAGGATGGCTGTGATCACTAACAGACAGCATGGGTTTCTCAAGAACAAGTCACATCAGACTAACCTTATCTCTTTTTTTGGAGAAAGTTACTACCTGACAGGGGAAAGCTGTAGACATAGTTTATCTTGATTTCAGTTAGGCTTTTGATAAAGTTCCACATAATATTCTTGTTGACAAATTGGTAAAATGTGGTTTGGATCCTATGACTGTTAGGTGGATCTGTAACTGTTTGACAGATGGTGCCCAAAGAGTGCTTGTGAATGGTTCCTCATCCTCTTGGAGAAGAGTGACAAGTGGAGTGCCTCAGGGATCTGTCCTGGGACCTGTTTTGTTCAACATCTTTATCAATGATTTGGATGAAGGAATGGAGGGAATACTTATTAAATTTTCAGATGATACTAAAGTGGGAGCGGTAGCAAATACAGTAGAAGAGTCAGGATACAGGATGATCTTGACAAGCTGGAAAACTGGGTTAAAACACAAAAAATAAATTTCAGTGGGGATATATGTAAAGTTCTGCATCTAGGTAGGAAAAATCAAGTGCATAGTTATAGGATGGGAGAGACTTGTCTTAGCAGTAGTATGTGCGAAAAGGATCTAGGGGTCTTAGTAGACCATACACTGAACATGAATCAGCAGTGTGATGAGGTAGTTAAACAGGCAAATGCAATTTTGGGCTGTATCAACAGAACTATAGTATTCACTGTTTTATGGTCTCTGACTGCAATAAACATACATACTATACAACAGAACTATAGTGTCCAGATTATGCAAAGTGATGGTATTGTTTTACTCTGCTCTGGTTAGACCTCACCTAGAGTATTGTATTCAGTTTTGGGCACCACAATTTAAGAAGGACATAGACAAGTTGGAACATGTAAAGAAGAGGACAACAAAGATGGTGAGGGGTCTGGAGACCAAGCCCTATGAGGAAAGGTTAAAGGAGCTGCATATGTTTAGCCTGGACAGGGAACGACTGAGAGGTGATAGGAGAACTATCTCCAAGGACTTGAAGGGCTGTTGTATAGTTGTTTTCTGTTGCTCCAGGAGGTTGGACCAGAACCACCAGGTTGAAATTAAATCAAGAGTTTTTGGCTAAAAATTACAAAGAACTTCCTGACAGAGCAGTTCCTCAATGGAACAGGCTTCCTCGGGAGGTGGTAGGCTCTCCTTCTTTGAAGGTTTTCAATCAGAGGCTAGATGGCCATCTGACAGCGATGCTGATTTTGTAACTTAGGCAGATCATGAGAGGGCGGGCAGGAAGGTTAGTTCTCCTGGTCTTTTCTTACGTTCCCAGGGAAATTCCAATCACCAATTTGGAGTCAGGAAACAATTTTCTCCAGGCCAGTTTGGCCAGGGATCCTAGAGGGTTTTTTGCCATTTTCAAGGCATCGAGCAGGGGTCACGGGGGAGGTAGTTTTGAATAAACTGCATTGTACAGGGTTTGGACTAGATGACCCTGGAGATGCCTTCCAGCTCTATGATTCTATAAGAGATTCTATCAGTATGTGTTTGAATTAGTAAAAGGAGAAGTTTGAGCTTTGGATGTATGGCTATATATTTAGTTAGTTACAAGTTTGAGTTCTGGTTTACATTTTGTGTTACAATTTGGTTAAGATATTACCCATTTATTTATTTTACTTGTGCAATTTAGGTTTTCTTGTGCAATTTAGGTCCTTTAGGTTTTATAGACTTTATTTGGGGGGCTTTAAAAATAGGGTCAAACAGATGGATTAATCTACCCTTATTAATTTACCTTTCCTTTATGTAATTAATGAAACTAATGAAATTATCAAGAAATTATCAGGGTCTTAGATTTTTAGTTTTTTAAACCTAAATCTTAAATAGATTAATTTTAATCCACTGCTAGGCTCTCCCCCTCCCAACCTGGAAATGACATCGCACTACTCTAGGAGTCACTGGAAATTCTGTGGTTTTACCACAGAGCTTCCAACAAGTCCCAAAGAGAAGTGTGACATCCTTTCCCCCAGTGGGAAAACAGTAAGCCTAGGGAGAGATATCTCCCCCTCATGAAAAAAACCCCTCTTTGATATTCTAAGTTTGCAGTCCTAAGAACTCTGACATGGTAGTAAGCCCCACTGAATAAGATGGGACTTACAGACCTACACAATAGACCTCATAAGGATTCATTCCTAAAATGGTCGCATTTATATCAGGGCAGGAAGGTTCATAAAAAGCAGATATGTGCAAGATATAATTTAAGGCATACTTCTTATAAAAGGTAGAAAAGCCACCCAGAACTTTGGAAGGGGGAGCAATATAGCACATCCCCTGTACACTTTGCATGTATGGACTAGTGAAGAGTTCCTGGTTACTGCCTGAGTTCTGTCTGCCTTGGCCCTAGAATATATTCATGAGTTATGCCCTTTCACTCTGGCCTCTATCTGCCCAGAAGTGTGAATGTGGGGGGGGGGGGCAGCAAAAGAGGCACTGGGGTGCATGAAAGGTTTGAAAACAGCGCCAAGTCAGGCTGGACTTCTCATTTTACCATATTGCTGTCCCACAATTTCTTCAATTCATTCCTGAAGGCCCTGATTGGGCCCACAGCGCAACAGCACCAGGAGAGTTGTTTTCCCTCCAAACACCTTTTCAAGTGCCAATACAGATGAAGGGAGCTATTTTGGTACTTGAAAAGGCACTGGGTGTGTGCGTGCACGCACATGTGTGAAACATGATCATATGATCCCACCATGCAGCATTTTTCAATGGTCCGAGTTCATCTCTAAAATAGTGGTGGTGCCCAGGGGTCCAACCTGTGGACCCCCTTAATGTCTAGTTTGGCCCAAAATCTGCACACATCAAGGATTCTTCTGTTTCCATATGTTAGAAAAAGGTTTTTTTGGGGGGGGAAACATATAACCACCTTGTATCAGTTTCCATGTTATTTAAAAGTGTCGTCAAGGAAGCAAAAGGAGACGATTCATGCCCTCAGAGTTCACATCTGCCATCTGGGCAAACAAAGGGCTCCCCAGAATAACAGAACCTAACAGAAAGTTTACAATTTTTAATATAGGAGGGAAAATGTAACACAGATGCAACAAGAGCATCTAGAATAGTCTTAAGAGTGGAAAATGCTCAACAAGAAATACCAGAATTGTGGTGGAAGCTTTTAGAAGGGGAAAAATGATCGTTGGCTAAAGAGAATTTTACCTTTCTGCTGCTGAAGCCCAGTGAGCACAGTGTCTGCAGAAGCAAAGGGGAAAAAATTAATCAGTAGAATGCTTTGTAATGACACTTTTAAAAATTATATTACCCAATGGAAAAACTAAAAAAAAAAAATGCTTGCAAATACTCAAATTTCTCTTCTCTTAATGTGATTTTTTTCACCATTCTAGTTATGGTTGCTGTTGGATTTAGAAAACAAAGAGAGAGAGAAGTTATCAAATTTGCAAAATGATGCTCAATGCTATTAAAAAGAATCAAGAATTTTCCCAAGCAGGGTTAACCAGAAATCATTTCCCTTGCTTCATGGGAACAACATGTTGTTCAAGTTGTTTTCCCCCTTTCTCCTGTGAAATAGCATTTGTACATTTTGCACAGTTTGTAATGGGTGATTTCTGTCATATGTAATACACATTCTTATTTTCTGAAATACAGTGAAACGGGTTTTGTTTTGTACTAATGTATATAAATGTGCCACAATTACTGCCGTACATTAGACACAATTAGGTGACTAACTGTGTATTCATTTATATCATTTTGCATATTGCTTGTATATTGCTGACCTTGTGTTTCTTTTTTCCTTGCTGCAAGGACCTCTCCCCCTTCTTTATTGGTGTTCACAGTGGCCAACCAGTTGCCCTGGAGGCCCAACAGTGCAAAGAAACAAAGCCTTCCCCAATGTTGCCTTTTAAAACTAGTATTTCAGAGGTTCACAGCCACTGGATGTGGAAGTTCCCTTCAGTCACCATGGCTAGCACCATGGCTAGCACCATCACTACAGCTATTGGCCATGAATTCCACTATCTGAACTATTCCATTATCTAAATTAAGCCCTGAAACTCTAGTCTGTTCTGAAATTATTATTCATCAACTTCAATGGATGCTCCCAAACTCTAGTATTATGGGAGGAGATAAAGCTCTATCCAATTTTACAAACCTGTGTGCTGGGGGGGGGGGGGTTACCGGGATTTTTTTGGTTTTGGGCTACGGGG